ATCTATCTGACACTCTCATGACTATACTGGGCCAGCGATCAAGGGTTTTGTCTGCAATAAACATTGGCATCATTTTCTCCATCTATTCATCTCTAATACAAAAAGAGAATCTATTCAACTCTCACTAAAAAAATCTTGTATATCTTATACACATCATATTCAGGGGAAAAAAAAAAAAAAAACTTAACTAGCTTCACCACAATCTATCCATCTCTCAACAAAATTAACAGAAAATACCCAAAATGAAATACAGCCGCAGTCTTACAGGAGGATAGGAAAAATTGCTGGGTAGCTATCCAGTCCTTTAGGTGGAGACAACGATTCCTGGGGATGGTGGTAGCCAGCACCTTGGTAGTCCTCCACTCCTGCAGCCTCAAATACCAGACACACACTAGCAGCATCACTCCGCCGCTGAAACTCTGGATTCTGGGAAATAAAAAAGTTGCAAATTATAAGAAAAGAATCTAATCTACTGCCTCTGTGAAGTGTAAATATAAATGCACCAGTTAGTTGATCCTTATCTCCATAGCCTTTAGAGCACCAAAAAAGAATGACTTTAAATAAATCTTAGTCATAATGAAAAAAAAAAATCACAAATTTTTACCAACAGAAAAATAAGGGATAGTAAGAAGTAAAAAAGAGTGAGACATGAATAAAAGGAACGAGAAAAAACAAAAAAAATAGAAATGACAAAAGAAAAGGCGAGGAACAAGAAAACTAAAACGAAAAACAAAAAGAAAGTAACACTTACTTTGAAACATAGTCACATGCTTGCCCCTGCCGAGAAATGAGCCCCTTCATATCGCAGGGGAACTCTGTGCTGCCAAAGTCTCATGGAAATAGAGTGAATACTTTGAGACAAAAGCTGCTTTTGCTTGCCACGCCACTGATATATGGTGGAAGAGGAGATGATTTGAGGAAATTGGAACCAAAACCATATTTCTTTGTCTGTAATGGTAAAAAAAAGAGAATCAGGATAACCATTTTTTCATACTTCACATGATATGTAAATACATACCATGGCCACTGTTAACACTATTCCTTGATATTTAGAAATATTCTCTTTTTACCTTAAATTGCTAATAGCAATATTTAGAACATTATAATAAGCATAATGTCTATAACAATAAAAAAGCATCACTACTAATAACATTAATAAAAAAACAACTATTACCCAAAAACTCAATTGGTGGCTGCATTCTTGTGGAGCACATTTCACAAAACAAAACTACAGTGAACATCATATTTTCCTTGCAGCAATGGGTTACGAAAAAAAAAAAACAAATAGGAAAGTTTCAAGGTGATAATGACAGTTTACATGAACAAATATCTCAGTTCATAAGCTCTACTAAATTCTTTTTTAATGGGGTATGGAAAAACTGTACTTCTACATTATAAACACTGATTTTTACATTAAAAGTATGCCATTCCCTTTCTTTCTGAATAAGGTAAAATTAAGAAACATTAGCATGTTTACACATAAAAAAAATCTGAAGTAGTTGGAATGTAGGGAAAAATCCCCTAAACCCTAGCATATTCTTTTAGTTTTATAACTATTACAAATTCTTTTCACCAGCCAAATAATAATGCATCAGCCATACTTCACTTCTTATTGACATGATAAAAGAACTGCTAACTGATTACTAAGTGATCACACCCTACCTCTTTTGACTGTACAACAGCATGCCATGTATTCAGTTTCGTGTGTGCATCATGGAGGTGGAGGAGCGAAGGGAAAAACCTCCAAAACTGCATCTCAATTTGACTTCTGAGCAGATGCATAAGGATGTCACATTCATATCTGTTTGGAATAGCAGCTTCTGTATGATCATGCTAACATATTCAATTTCATGACACACAAAGCTTTGGATAAATTATTTGCATTGCATACTTCTACATTGCAAAAGATCAGAGGATAGTTGAACTCCAACATGTTATCTATAAATACTATTTTCACTCATTCCATAAAGCATTTTTATACACTCTTGAAGACATAAGCTCCCCTCAAGAAAAAGACTGTGCTTACATACGTAAAACTTGTTTTCAGAGGTGTCAGCAAAGGATGATGGAAATTTCTGCTGTTGTTCATGCTAATGTCAGTCACATGTGCCAGCAATTCGTCAAAATTCATCAGCCGATCCATGGACGACCCAACCATCCGTTCATAGCTAGTATATGCTGTTAAGGAACTACAGCTGTAAATTTTAATAAGATGACTTCAAGAAACTAGCTTCAACAAATTCTATCAATGAGTATACTTTGCTGGTTATAGTAAGCTGAATTTGAAAACTCCATAAAAAGATTCTAAGTACTGAATCAATGCCATGGAAAGGATACAACGCAATCATCTGTAGACGAGCTTTAGTAAAGAGCACAAGATGTGAACATATATGCTCCAGAAGGCCATCTGAGACAGGGCTCCCAGGGTTTCCTAGGTTTCCAGGGTTTCCGAGGCTACCAGGGCTGCCTGGACTTCCAGGATTTGCCGTTTCATTTCCAGCATTGTTGCCATTGCTGGTTTTGGCATTACTGCATCTAGCATTACTGCCCCTGATGTTACTAGTCTCAAAGTTTCTCTTCTCTAATTCACCAAACTCTATGCTCAGAGACTCAAAGTTTGCTCGAACAGAACTCTGCAATAAAGACAGAAATTATACAGTTCTAATTTGTTTGTGATCTTTAAATTCTCTTAAAAATAAATAAGGGAAATGAGAAACCTATCTGCAAGAAATCAATATCACATAATAAGCAAACTACCAATAAACAGGATTCTGTCAATACTGCAGGATTTCATAATGTACTGAAAACAATCATGGTAAGAGCAAAGCAGATAATGTTGAATATTCATCAATATACAATTACAAAGATGAAACAGCAAACATATTCATCTTTCTACAAGATATTGTTGCTGAAAGTTTACCTCTTTCCTTAGAAATCCTTTGCTAGTAAGAAAGGAAAGGTTCATATAGAGTTTCTCTGCTATGGCCAACTGTGCGATGCAAGTTAGTAACGACTGCCACATGGAAGACCCAACACCTCTACTCATGTCACGCTCCTTCTCCTGTAAACAGTGGAAAGTACATAAAAGGTTAAACTTTACATTACTAAATATAATGGTGGCCCGTTATGGTGTCATGATGATAATGAATAAGGTGAATCTCATTGCTCTTGGAAATGATGGATATATTCATACAATTTGGAAGATGTATCAGTTCTTTCTGGAAAATAAATAACAAAATGGTGCATACAATTTTTCCTAAGCACTTTTCAGAAGTTATTTTCTTTCTGGAGAACTGCAGTAAAAGTATGCATAAATACAAGTAGTATAACAATATCATTTGCCCAGAGGTAAAGTTGATACATCATAAAACACTACTGTATTCTAATCGTAAGTTACTTTTGATCATTTTCCTAAATTTGACCATCCATCAATTTCACATCTTCCCTTTTTGTGTTTTATTGCCATATTCCTTCCATCATATTTAATCTCTCCTCTCCTCTCTCTCCTCTCCTTTCCTCTCCATCCAAATATCTTTAGCTTTTCTTTCACATTCAATTTCTCAAAAGAATAATCAACATTACACTTACTGCCTGATCTTTAGCCTTATCGAAGTTGAAGTTGGTGAAATGGAGCATCAAGGCTTGCAAAACCATCTCTTCATGGTCAGACTGGTGCGTGGAGGCCATTTCAGCAACTTCTGAAAAATATGGGCAATTAGCAGGATTCCTTCACATGTCAGATTTAATCCCTCGAGCCTTCTGTGAGAACTGGGGGCGTAATCTTAGTTCAGTGTTACCCAAACATCATTCAGAGTAACCCAACTCAATTCAGTGTGGCCTAACTTAGTTTAATTCAGTGTAGCAATCGATATTCAACGTAACCTAATACTATTAAGCGCAAGTATAACCTAATATAACTCACTGTAACCTAACTTAATTCAAAGTCCCCAAACTTAATCTACTGTAACTTGAAGCAGTGTAACCTAACTCAATTCCATAGAACTTAATTTAATTCAATGTAATAAAGACTTAATCAATTCCAGTTTCCAAACCCAACTCTAATCTAACATCTTTTCTTAACTTTTAAGAAACTATTATTCCTATGGCTTGAGTTACTGGATGTGTTTTAATCCAAATTTTTGATACTAATACGCTTATTTATCCACCCTTGGCTAATTACATGTATAGAGATAAAATTAGTAATGTTCTAGCATTACGCAGCCATCCAACCTCATACTTATAAATTCTTGTTTCCATTATTGACAGTGTAATAGCATGATCTGTTCTTTTCCATCACTAATGATATAAATGAAAGTATCGGTAACTGTTTACGAAGTGACTGCAGCCCTTCCAGACTGAGTCCCTTTTACTCAGGCCACTCCCTGAAATCCACAAACATCGCCACAGAAAACAAAAACCTTCCTAACTCGAGAGCGTCACCCCTTGGACCTCACTCAATCGCCATGGACTTCCTCTCCAGGCAGCACTTGTCGACACCTATTTCCTTAACTCTGACGATATTTTTAACCTACGCATATCATTTCACGTATTAGCAAGTATGTTTTTTTTTCCCATTCTTTACGACAGTGTCAATAGATTTTTCCTATCTCATGTAAAAGTGTACCAAGTATTATATGTTGCACAATTTTCTTATTATCAACAAGCAACAGAAACACCATAAACAGTCTTATTTCATCACTCTATCCACTACATGCAAAGTTTGTCTTATACCATACAGTGACCTAAAACTGGCCATGTACCCTGGAACCAATATACATTAAAGATACACATAAATAACACATAATTATCATGAAATAAAACATTAACTATACATATATCACAGTCGCTCTCCATATTACACACACCTCCAACATTACCAATAGAAACTAACAAATATCAAATAAAACAATGCCAAACACCCTTGACCTCAACATTACAAAACACGAATCAAAAAACCCCGATGGTGACCTTTGACCTCGCATTTCCAGGGCAAAATACTGCACATTATGGCTCTCTCTCTCGATTTAACACACTGTCTCCTCTCTTCTCCTCAAGCTTCATCTACACCTTATTCTTAACACTCATCAATCTTAATTAACACCTTTTGTGAAATTCTACAAAAGTATCGATCGATTATCTTTTTAAAACATGCGAAAAGTTTAAGAATTAAAAAAGGAAATAATCTACATTTCCTCCTTATCTCTTATCTACATTCTACATTTACTTGACTATTATGGCGTCTCTCACCTTCGGTCACCTTAATAATTAAGAGGAAAAAAATTACCGTCGTAATATTTACTCAAAACGTCATAGTTTGAAAAAAATTTGCATCTTTTACATTATTTGCGAGAGGCCGAGGTGGTCGCTTAGACGGACAAGATGATAACAAATAGTTTTTCTCTCTATCTGTTCCTTCTCTCTCTCTCGTTTTCGTTCTTGTTCTCTTTCTTTGGCTTTGTATTGTCTTTCATTTTTGTATTCTTTTCACTTTCTTTATCTTTGTATTTGTCTATGTCTTTCTTTTCTTTATTCTTTATTTCTTTGTCTATTTCCTTGTTTCTCTTAATTTTTGTTTTTTTATTTATTTTTATTTCTATTTTCTCCTTTTTCTTTTTCTATTTCTTTTCTTTTTCTCTTTCTTACATATTCTCGTTCTTATTCTCTCTCTCTCTCTCTCTCTCTCTCCTCTCTCTCTCTCTCTTCTCTCTCTCTCTCCTCTCTCTCTCTCTCTCTCTCTCTCTCTCTCTCTCTCTCTCCTCTCTCTCTCTCTTCTTCTCTCTCTCTCTCTCTCTCTCTCTCTCTCTCTCTCGTCTCTCTCTCTGTCACTCTCTCTCTCTCTCTCTCTCTCTCTCCCTCTCTCTCTCTCTTCTCTCTCTCTCTCTCTNCCATGGCGGACGGGGGAGGGGAGTACATAACATAGTAATAGAAGTAATAAGAAAGTAATAATAAAAATATATAAAGGATTTACAATAGCGGATTTTTTTTTTCCAGACAACACTGGCTCTCGACCAACAGAAAGATTCGCAATGTAGGCATCCGGTCCATTTGAGGGATGGCGAAATGATTTGCAGGTCCGATATTTGCAATCCCTCCTCCTTCCCCCCTCCCTTCTCCTTCCCCCCTACCTTCTTCTCCTCTTCCTCCCTCCCTACTCTTCTCCTCCTTCTCCTACTCTTCCTCCTCCTCCTTCCGTCCTACTTCCCCTCTTCTCTACTCTTCCTCCTCTTTCTCCTTCCTCCTTCCCTACTCTTCCTCCGTCCTTCTCTCTCTTTCCTTCCGCTTTCTCCTCCTCCTCTGCCCTTCTTCCTCTCTCTCCGTCCTTTTCCTCCTCTTTCTCCTCCTCTCCTCCACCTCCCCCCTTCTCCTTTTTCTCTTCTCCTTTCCTGCTCCTCCTCTCCTTATTCCTCCTCCTCTTGCCATTCTCTCTTCCTCTCCCATCCTCCTTCTACTTCTCTTCCTCCTGTCCTTCTTTCTACTTCCTCCTTCTTCTCATTCCTCTTCCACCCTCCTTATCTTCTTTCGCTCACCCTTCTCTCTTTTTCCCTCTCCTATCCCTTTCCTCTCCTCTTCCCTCTTCCTCCTTCTCCTCCTCTTCCTCCTCCTTCCAGGCTCCTTCTCCTCTTCCTCCCACACAATCCTAACATTAGTACCTGTCAGCGTCTGTGTGTCGACCTGCCCGATGCTCATAAAATGCTTCGTTTAAAGACATGTATGTTTATTGCTGCTCCTTTAATGCATAAGGTCTCCACACAATTAATCTTGTAATAATAATAATATATAGTTACTTTGTAATCTGTGTTCTCGTTAGAGACGATTTATTTTAGAGTATTTATATGTAGTTTACACGGGGATATTGTGCAAGCAGACGACTAAATAATAGATATAGATAGCATAGATAGTAGAAGAGAGAGAGAGAGAAGAAGAGGCGAAAGAGAAGAGAGAGAGAGACTGGACGAAAGAGGAGAGCAGAAGAGATGATGAGCGCAGATGTTTTGAGAAGACCGTCGGAATCTTTGTTCAAAAGCATCGTGACAAAAATGAATTGTTGTTGGGGATAGTCCTGAAGATAATTGTTAGGCGCCCGTTAGCAAAAAAAAGAACAAACAAACAACATCAACACAAGCAGCAACAACAACATCATCCTCATCACCATCATCAACAAGAACAAGAACAAGAACAAAAGCAACAACAACAACAACAACAACAACAAACAACAACAACAGCAAGACAACAATATTAAGCAGTCCTAGTCTAGCAATCTTGCGTGACCCACTGTCGACCCTCTGCGGCTGCCAGTGTTGGAATGTCCACCCGGCTCAGCCTTGCACACAGGGGTAATTCGAGCTAATAAACAAGACATAAGACAGCAAAGAAAGAATACCTACTGTAACCAATGAATAGAGTAAATTATAATTCTATTATGAGTTAAATTGCTCGAAACGACTAATAGCGAGGCGACCACTCCCAAGTAAGCAAAATTTCCCGTTTACCAAGTCTTAAATCGCTAAATACCGTTCACCAGCGCCGTTTAATGATAAATAATTATATATAAAAAAATATTTCACATTATCTCACATGCGAATTAAGTTTAACAAAAATTACCAAAAACATTTCAATAATTCCATCACCATAAACATACAAAGATACAAATAACAAACAAATACAATCACCTATCACTAAAAAAACACAGCGTTACAAACACAACAGCAAATTAAACAACTATTCCTCTAATACACACCAAAAGTCTTCTTTCTATTCAGCCAATGAAAACAAGCCAGTAACATTAGATTAAACAAATCCTATGAACATTACACAACACACACAACCAACAGTCTCTCCACCCCAAGGATTGCACCGAAACGCTCTTGAAATGCTTTTGTTTAAAATAGAAACTATCGCCTGCATTTATGGCGAGTAATGTCTCGAATCGGAGTCTGGAATTCGCCGCCGCTTTTCAGCAGCATTTCACGGCGTTTCGTGGATTCTGGGTTAATATAAAAGTCGTATATATTTGTAGTATGCCCGTTTTGAGATGACGTTTCATGTCTTTGGATTAATTTTAAAGCTATGTATCTGTTCTGTCTGTCTGTCTTTCTGTCTGTTCTGTCTGTCTTCTTGTCTAACTACCTTGTCGTGTCTGTCTGTCTGTCTGTCTGTCTGTCCTGCCTGTCGTACGTCTATCTGCACTCTCTGTCTGTCTAGTTGGCCTCTCTGTCTGTCTGTCTGTCTCCCTCTCTCTGTCTGTCTGCTCGTCATGTCTCGCGTTCTGTCTGCTCTGCTTCTGTCTGTCGTCTGTCTGTCTTTATCATATCAGATCTATATATCTGATGATTTATTTCATCTATCTGCTTCTATCTATTTATCTATTCAACTGTCTTCTATTTATCGATTTATCTTCTAATCTATTTATCGTATATCTGTCTTTTCTATATCATTTATCTGTCTCTCTTATTTATCTATTTGTCGCATTGTCTGTCTTTATATCGTCTCTACCGTGTGTTCTATTTACCTATCCGTTTGTTTAACTGTCTCTCGCTTTATCTCTGTATAGCTATCTATCTATCCATCTATCTCTTTAATCTATTGCTGTATATCTGTTTCTCTTTCTCTCTCTTGTCTCTCTCTCTCTCTCTCTCTTCGTCTCCTCTCTCTTCTCTCTCTACTCTCTCTCTCTCTCTCCTCTCTCTCTCTCTCTCTCTTCTCTCTCTCTGCTCTTTCTATCTCGCTCTCTTCTCTCTCTCTCATCTCTCTCTCTCTCTCTCTGCTCTCTCTCCTCTCTCTCTCTCTCTCTCTCTCTCTCTCTCTCTCTCTCTCTCTCTCTCTCTCTGCCTATCTATCTATTCCATCTATCTATCGAATTCAATCTTACGACTATCCTCTATCAATCTATGAAGATTGAGAATACGAACAAACATCACTCTAAATGAGGAATAATTAACTGATGTCTTGAATAATAACTTGTGTTTATCGAATCATCCTTAAAAGCCACTGACTTACTGGTTGAATTATCTAAAAACCATGCCGTGTTTGCTCACCCCCATGTTTGTTACTGTTTTCTTAGCGTGTTTGTTAGCGTGTTTCTTAAGCGTGTTTGTTAGCTGTTTGTTCGCGAGTTTTTGCTGTGTTTGTAATAGGTTTTTGTTTAGCGTGTTTGTTAGCGTGTTTGTTGCGTGTTTGTTGCGTGTTTGTTAGCATGTTTGTTGCGTGTTTGTTGCGTGTTGTTGCGGTTTGTTTAGCATGTTGTGCGTGTTGTATAGCGTGTTTGTTGCGGTTTGTTGCGTTGTTATGTAGCTGTTTGTTAACGTGCTTTGTTAGCATGTTTTTGCGTGGTTGTTGCGTGTTTGTTTTAGCGGTGTGGCTTGGCCTTTTCCGAGGCAGTCTGTTGTCAGGTTGCAAGACTAAAGGAAACGACGGCAAGACAAAGCAACAACTAATTCGAATTAGACAGACACACGCACAAGGCAAATTCGGATAGAGATTGAGAGATGAAGAGAGAGAAGAGGGAGACGAGAGAGAGAAGAAGAGAAGAGAGAGACGAAGAGATGACGAGGAGAGAAGTAAGAGAGGAGAGAGAGAGAGATAAAGACGAGAAAGAGAGAAGAGAGGAGAGGACGATGAGAGGGAAGAGAGAGAGAGAAGAGAGAGAGAAGAGAAGAGAAAGAGAAGAGAGAGAGAAGAGGAGAGAGAGAGAGAGGAGAGAGACGATGAGATGATGATGAGAGAGGAGAGAGAGATGAAGGTGAGAGAGAGAAGAGGAAAGAGAGAGAGCAGGAGAGAGAGAGAGAGAGAGAGGAGGAGAGAGGAGAAGAGAAGAAGAGAGCGAGAGAGAGAGAGAGAAAGAGAGAGAGAGAGAGGACGGGAGAGAGAGAGAGAGAAGAGAGAGAGAGAGAGAGCAGAGAAGAAGAGAAAGAGAGACGAGAGAGAGAGAGTGAGAGAGAGGAGAGAGAGAGAGAAAGAGAGAGAGAGAGAGGAGAGAGAGATGAGAGAGGAGAGAGAGAGACGAGGAGAGAGAAGGAGGAGAGAGAGAGAGAGGAGGAGAGAGAGAGAGAGAGAGAGAGGAGAGAGAGAGAGACGAGATGAAGAGAGAGAGAGAGAGGGAGAGAAGAGAGAGAAGAGAGGAGAAGAGAAAGAGAGACCGGAGAGAAGGAGAGAGAGAGGAG